GTACTGTCTGCGAACGCACAAGCGCTAGCAGCAGGGAGTGCGACGACCTGTACTACCGTAGGGAGCCGACCGCCGACTAGTAACTCATACATCGCCGCGACGACCATGGCTGCAGGGATGTATTAAGCAAAGAACCACAAATTTAACACACAATATCAATTAGCGACCCACCCCAGCAACATTCATGGAAATGACCAAATTCCATTCAGACGACTATGTCGATTTCTTGCAAAGAGTGACTCCCGAGAACGTGGATGAAGTCAACAAGTTCCAGCACAAGTGTATGTTTTCCATTTGTTCGATTCTTTCTGTGAGGATATACAAACTTACTTTATGATGGCTGTTCGCACAGTCAATGTAGGAGAGGATTGCCCCGTCTTTGATGGATTGTTCGAATTTTGTGCTTTGTCAACGGGAGGTTCCATAGGTAGGTTTGAGCCTTTTCCCATTCCAACGATTCTCCTTTGTAATCATGTGATTACTTATGTTATCCAATATCAAAACTTGTCTAATGATAGGCGGTGCCGTGAAACTTAATCGCGGGGAGTCGGATATAGCGATTAACTGGGGAGGAGGTTTGCACCACGCAAAGAAGAGTGAGGCGTCCGGATTCTGCTATATTAACGACATCAACTTGGCTATTTTGGAGCTTCTGAGGTACGTCTTCGACCTTTTACTATTGTAAAGAAGATCCGAAAACTTATATCCATATTCCAGAGTTCATCAACGAGTGGTTTACATTGACATTGATATTCATCATGGCGACGGAGTTGAGGAGGCCTTCTTTTCAACGGATCGTGTTTTGACAGTTTCTTTCCACAAGTACGGCGAATACTTTCCGGGCACTGGAGGATTGAATGTAAGTTTTGCCGAAAAGCTCTTATGATTATATGGCCACTGCAGTCGACTGACTCGACTTCCTTGGTAGGATATTGGATATGGTAAAGGAAAATACTACTCTGTCAACGTACCTTTGAAAGATGGTATCGACGATGAATCATATCGATCTGTGTTCTGTCCTGTAAAGTGTTTCTTCTCCCATTATTAGTATCTCTACTAATTTACACTATGACTTTTAGGTGATGCAACATGTTATGGACTGGTACCGCCCTGGAGCTGTGGTCTTGCAGTGCGGAGCTGATTCTCTGGCTGGTGACCGACTCGGATGCTTCAACCTTTCAATGAAGGGTATGTACTTCTTTTATTCTTCGTAATTGATAATGACAAACCCATCTTTCTTTTAATAGGACACGCGCAAGCATTGGAGTTCATGAAAAAGTTTAATGTGCCTATTCTTCTTTTGGGTGGAGGTGGATACACTATTAGAAACGTTGCGCGGGCTTGGACATATGAAACCGCTGTTGCTGTGGGAGAGACGTTGCCGGATGGTTAGCACCTTTTCTTCTTGTTGTTGGTTTACTGCTAACTATCGACACTTATTATTGTGCTATTCCAGAGCTGCCTTACAACGATTACTTTCAAGTGAGTATTCGTTTATGTCAACCGATTTGAGGAATGAATATTGTAACTGAGTATTCGCTTTGATCATAGTACTTTGGTCCCGATTTCCGTTTGGAAGTTCCTAGCAGCAATATGGAAAACCTGAACAGCAAAGCCTATTTGGACAAAATCTTGTAAGTGATTGGTTATTCATTGGTCGACGAGTATGAGGTGACTAATGATGCATGCCTTTAGGGCATCCATTATTGATAATTTGAGGCATATACCCCACGCACCTTCCGTGCAGATGCAGCGTACGTCTTTTTTTGGTCAAATTTTAAGACGAGCCCAAGCTAATTGTGTTTGTTTTAACAGAGGTTCCGAATGACATTGACTCTGATTTTGAAGACGAAGACAACTCTATGGAGGCAGACCAAAGAATAACGCGTAAGCCTCTTGAATTTTCCATTCAATTCCATCTAACTTACACTTTTCTTCCATGGTTTGCAGAGGCAATAGCTGACAAGATCAAGGTCCCTGACAATGAGTTCTCGGATTGTGAGGATGAGCTTGGAGCCAGAGGAAGATCGCGTGGGCTCAATTAGTTTTTTGTCAATACTTCGACATATATATATATATATTTTAGATTCCCCTTTGGATTTGGTTGTAATACATATACTTCCTTCAATTCTCCTTCCCCATTTTGTAGCCAAAGGTCCACACACGAAATTGTCGGACTGGGTCAATTTTGCGAAGTCGATCTGCGAGTCCTGATTGCGATGCTGAAGAAGGCACAGAATGGTGGTTGGCGCGCTGTATGGCAGCTGCTGAAATTGATAGCACTCTTGCTAGTCTTAACAACATGGAATGCTCTCGGTACGTTCTCCTTACAACTCTGAACTTGTTCAAAGCCCTTTTTGAACAAGTCTCGATTGCCCACGATTTCCCCACTTTAGCATCAACTAACAAACGAAACAGATGTCATCGTCGAGCAAGGCTACTTTTCAAGCAACGACGTCAAATTCAGGCTAAAAGATATGGTCGTACCACCCGTGATACATGTCGGAGAGATCTTCAACATGACGATGGAGTGGACGGCGAAAGTGAAAGCGAGGCAAGCGGGGGTTGTTACTTGGATTGAGATGGGTGAGTATCTCTTCTCTATTTGAAAGATTGGACATAAGAAAGGCTGACGAAGGACTGATCTGTTTTGGTGAAGGTGCGAGATGTTCAGGGCGGGATGGGAATGTTACATATCAGACGAACAACTTTACGATCGATTCGCGGCGAGGTAAGTGAATGGAGTGCCACTCAACTATCAAAGAATGTTTGACTAAACGGTATGGAAACAATAGGTGTGAATGTCTTACTCTTGGAATATCCAATGCTTAACGCCGACCTGAAACCAGAGTACCAAGATGCCCTCTGCGCTGTCGTCTTGAACTACTTTACCCTCAAAAGGAATCCGCCTAAACCAGACTTGGTGAAGAAGGACAAGCTCGTCACGGGTACATTTAAACTGAAACGAGAACCGAGGCTTACACCACTACCGAATCCTTATGCGCCGAATATGTCGAAACGGAAGAGGAACATTGCGTGGAGGATTAAGCCGATACGGTCACCAGAATCGTATGGACCTACCATGGCAGAATTAGAGGATGGGATTGTGGAAGACGCAGCAACGACTGGGATGAAAACGTTTAATACGACCCAACCTTATGTTGGTGCAGCGCTTCCACCTACAACAACGACAAAAGTGGAACCGACGATATGGCCGTATTACCGAAAACGGAAACATGTCAATATCGCGCTTCAGCCAATGCATGATCCCGAATTCACGCACGATGCCGCTCTGCTTCAGTCGTGGATGGATTATTTGGAGTTGTGTGTGGCGTTGACGATATTGGGTTTGCTGCTGTTCAGACGTGCGGTGGCACGGAATATGGAAGCGTGGACAAAGTGGTTCTTTAAAGATATAGATGTATGTTGTTGATCTACTTACTCATTGCTGTTGTTTGTTTATTAATTTTGTTTGTGCAGAGCTCTGTAGGTGGTTATCATCATGGTACTGGAATGAGTCAGCAACGGCGGCGGCAACATCTTCGACAAGGATTCACACTTCCACAGTGATTAGAGATTTCCTAATGAAAATGTCTTGTAAATCTTCAGGTTGATTGCATGACGGGCAGGAAGAGGCCATAGAGTTAGATTGTGTTGAACCAAATTGTAGCTATTGAAAGATTTGTGATATGCATAGACAGAAAGAAATTGGAACTGTATTCTTATTTGTCTCATAACTTTTGAAATTTACAGAAGGCTAGGACCCATTTCGTATGAGATTCTTTCACAGGGAGGGGGTCTTTTGGGGGATAGTTGTGGATAGGGGGCTGGACAGGAAAGCGGTGGGGTACACCGGAATGGCGATCAACGACCGGGGCGGCCCTCGACTACCGAATCCACTCTGACCACCAAAGCGCAAGCCACCGCAATGATCACCCGCACAAGTTCTCTTGGCTTTAGCCAAAGAGCTAGTCCGTCGGGACACTTCACTTCTCTCCGAAAAAAAAATTATAGAGGAGATATTCTCCTCTCTTAATAAATATAAACGGAGCAAAATGGGTCCCAAGCGAAGCGCGAAGCCGGGTACTCCTTCACTGCCGCCAGTGACTGTGAAAAAAGGGCATCGTCAACCGGGTCCTCGAGCAAAACTCCTTGCGTGGCGCGCCCAGCGCATTTCTTTAGCCAATCGTTGTCTCCTGCTGAGTGAGGACCCATCACAACCTTATCTTGAGGATGTTTTTGAGGAAGAGGAGGTCCCTTCCGTTCTGGACTTGGACAATCCTTCTTTTTAGCATATTTCCCTTTTAAATACATTTGTTTTTCCCCTTGCATTACCGATTCGGCAGCTTCATATGGCCGCTTTGTCACATTGCGACAGCTTCGGAGAGAGCCCGCATGAAACATTCTTACTTCAGCAACTTTGGACATGCAAAGCCGCCACGATCATGGCTGAAACGAAGGAAAGCCAAGAGGTTCCGTACATCGCAAGCGATGTACACCCAGTGGCCGTTTTGTCCCATGGCGACAGCGCTTCTGAGACCTTTCCAGAGCCCGCATGAAACATTCTTACTTCAGCAACTTTGGAAATGCAAAGCTGCCGCGCCTACAGCCGGAAAACCAAGAGATTCCATTCCATTCATCACCAAAGAAGGAAAAAAAAAAAAAAAGTTCGTCAGATACATCTGACAACTAATACTGTTATATTATAAATAAATAGGGAATATACTGTTATGGTATAGCATAGGGTGACTCGTTATAATAGTTTCTACTATGTAGTTGTTTGAATTGTCAAAAGGATTGTCAAAACAAAATAAACATTGGATTGTTTCTTCGCCCAGAATATGGCAGATCATCCCCGCGACGTCGAAGGTTGCGTTTAACCAGCTTGCTACACTACTAGAGACTCTTAACGTTTACTTCTTTGCATTGATCCTTTCACTTAACATCACTCTCATCACGCTTCCGCACACATCGAATCAATACCGCAACATATACCATATTCTCCTGTGGCCAAGTGGTACGGCCCCTGTCTTATGTTCTCTCAGCGAGAAGATGACAACAGGAAATCGTGGGTTCGACCCCCACCGGGAGCATTGTCGTCTTTTTTTCGTTTCTTTCCGTAAAAACTGTGGGGGCGGCGCCGGGAACTCTTGGCTTTCCCTTTTTTTGGTTGCGCTGGGTAGCGTGTCGGAAGTTTGAAGGTTTTCGCGGTAAGGCGAGTCGGCCCTGAGTTGATCTTCTCTTCTTCGCCTTTCTTGGCCGTTAGGAACACTGATTCTTCATTATTCTCACGTTTCTTCTTGTCATTGGTTTCTAATGTTGTTTCTTCAGTGGCGGAGAGGGTTGGTAAAGGTTTCGTAGCTGGTGATGTCTGCGGAGTGACCTTGGCAGCAATGGTGTCGTCGTTGCTGACTACACGTTTCCGAAAGTCGTGTCGTGTGCAAATCGACGTGTGAGGAATCCATGAATCCTTCACTGGAATTAGCCAAGATGTCGGACACCTGCTGAGTGATCCTACCCCATAGAGGGTTTGGAGGGATTTGGGATGTGTGTAGGCGCACGTGTGTCGAGTGTGTGTGTTTATCTATTTACTTTCCTATTTCCTTGGCAAGTCTTATCCACTCTAGCGCCTCCTCAAGCTCTTCACTCGGCTTCACCAAGATACCCAATCATATCCTAAGACACACTTTGGTCCCGTGGAGAACTCGCTACAGGCTAAATTGGCGTTTACCGGCCTCACCTTATCCCCTTTGGCCTGCGCTGCCTCTTCCTCGACTCCTCACGACTCATACAAGATCCCCTCGCGCCTCATACAAGACCACCGTCGAGATTGATGTACCTTCTGATAACATGTGCCAGAAAGTGCGTTCTGATAACCTATTCTATATAAACAGTGCACTGCGTACCACTCCGTCCGCCTTCGTTCATCTCTACACACACCAACACATCTCACCATCGCCTACACAGCCAGTAGATCTGCGGCCCTGATAAGTCAATCACGCCGCCCATCTATATCTTTCACCGCAACGCACCATTTAACTTGGCTATCCGTTGACTCAGTATTTACTGTGGGTACCCAGATACAAGTGATCGATTCCAGAAAATAATGACCGCATGGAGTCACGGCTTGGCCGGTTTCAAAAACATTTACAAATCCCCCCTTATAGAACATGCAACACTGACGTGTGCACCTCAGCCGAAAT